CTTACCCGGCTCACCCTTGGCTCCCTTAACTCCCGGCGGTCCTGACGGTCCAAAGGCACCGGGATTCCCCGGTAATCCGACATCTCCCTTTATTCTCATTGATCCTGCTGGTCCAGTAGGTCTATGTTTGCCAGTAGGTCCCTCTATACCAGTTCTCCCGAGAGGACCCGGTTTCCCTGTCTTCCTCGTTGTCCCTTGTCACCTTTCGGCCCTGAACGACAGAGAGTGTGATCTTTAGCACAGACGTGGTTTTGTAACAGATAAAGTTCTTGTTTTATCAGAGTTATTATTTCAGAGGATGTCAGGGATCGAGGACTTTCGTTTAGGAGTTTTGACTGAAGAACACTGTTGTGATATGATCTCTTCGTGACCTGGAATCAAAATTGAAAATAATCAATTACTTTAAAAGTCAGTCACGTCACTCATGGGTTGAATCGGGCACATGAACCACTTTGCTGGGCTGCAATACGATTTTATTTAGGTAAAGGTAAGTCAGATGCAGAAGTTTGAAATATCTGATAATTTCAATGACCTAAGATGCATTACTGACTTAAACAATGGAAAATTGATTCTGTTACCTTTGGTCGCATGCCAATGGCTTTTCGTGGCCACAACTTGCTTTCGTATAATATTCTCCTGAACGTTTAGCAATAGTTCTCTCTTCATCTTATCCAACGAATCTCGTGCGAATGATATCAGACAATGATTTTCTTGTATTCTGAGTTCTTGGTGAATTAGCACGATGCAACAGACAAAAGAAAACAGCAGACCTGACCCGGAACATAGGCGGTCCAGTGTTTGACTGCTTCCACGCTTTAGTCATGGTTCATTGCTGCGATCTCTGCGATTAGCTCTTAAGCTACTGTAGCCTTAGATCACAAATTATATCAGTAAAGAAGTGATGTTCCTTAAGTCTTATAGCGACTAACAAGTCAACTCAATCAGTTAGTCCCTGTAGTTGTGTGGCAGACAGTTGGGTGTAAAACGACCCTCTCTAGAGGTTAAAACAACAGACTTGCCTGTTCTTGTTCTGAAGGAGGCTTAAGTTTCACAGGAAGCAGATCTGATATCATTATCTTACCAGGAATCTCTCTGCCGAGGTCAAAATTGTCATGTTTATTTTATCACAAAATAAAACGGTTGATATGTAGATTAAGCGCACGATTTAGCCCCAACACGCTTTTTCATGCAAAATGTAGACGGGTATATTCGCCTGCTCATGCGCGCATGCGCCTATTCTCGTAGACGTAGAGGTAAGTGCATTAATTCTAGGTAATGAATTTGTTATATCACTCTATTAAAAATGACGACAATAAACGAAAACTAAATTCTTGAATTACGGAAAGGACTGTAACTATTAGGGTTGCTGCCGGACAATTTGTAACTCATGACCTCCATTGTTGACTTTGTTGATATGGCAAACACTATCCAAGTTTCCCGCCTCACTCCTCGCGCTCTCACAACTCGGCTTTGTTGGTAAACCCGACTGTGGGGTAGAGATAAGAGAACGAGTCCGCTGTTACCGGTGGAGTTTCAGTCAACGTACTGGGGTCCAATGACAATTGCTGCTCTTACAACTCCATAATTACTAGAGTAAATTGGAGTGCACTTAAAATGATCGAAATTAAGTCGATGTCCAAAAAACTAGAGTGGTTAAAAGCAAAATACAGTCATATACTTCAGTATCAAAAAAAATTACTCAGATGTTAGAAAGGAACATATTGTTTCACCTAATGCGTCTTAACAGTCTATCTTAAAAGCCTAAATTTCAACGAAGTTAAAATTTGGTTTGACTAATCTTTTACTGAAAACTGCTTTCATGTTAACTGCTCATGCTATTCCATAGCATTTCAGTTTTCCCAGAGTGTGATATCCTTCTTCTCCTCCATCACCTGCGTCACCAAACCTGAGCTGTTTCACTGGTAGATGTGTCTTGTCAGTGAGGAGACCGCTGTCTTCCCGCCATGCAAAGTCATTCTTATCACAGTTACAAGGATAACTGGAGTCTGCGCATGAGGTGGTCATCCCGCATGCGCACTTACTACTTCCAGGTGATGTTCCTCCCCAGTACGTCATCTTAGCAGAGTCACGTGACACCCACCATGCGAATCCTCCTCCCAGCCCTCCTAATAGCACTGAACCATGACATTCATATTTGATGAACTGTTCACAGTGTGAGGAGGCTCTGGTGAGACTCGCCAGCTGGGACAGACTCGCTCCAGTGTAATGAATGTCATGTGAATAACAGCCATGAGGTTCACATCCATTCACGTGCGTTCTACTTTCACTGTCGTGACTGATGACTGTCACGCCAACCCCATTCTTGTCACTCATGTCACAGTAAACTGTGAAAGGTGCCAGTCCCCCTACGCCATCTGGATCAATGACGTAATTTCCACTTGCGCTGCCGCTGTATTTTCTTATCACAGAACAAGACGTTGCAACGGGAGAGTTGATTTTGACTTTGGCCTCTATTGATGTCAGAGCATTAGTCGCTCTACAGGTGTAAGATCCTTCGTGTGATTTCCCAATGTTGTTTATAACCAGTGTTCCATTCTGTAGAACATTAGACTCCACAGGAAGGGAAGACCTGCCATCCTTTGTCCAAGTGATTGTAAGTCTCAGGTCACTCTCGGCCATACATGGCAAATATAAAGAATCAAGAGCGTGAGGAATTACCTCCTGAGGAGGACGCACTTTGAACTTCAGAGGAGAAAATACCATGAGATGAGCAGTGTCTGTTACTGATCCCAAAATATTCTCTGCCTTACAGATGTATATTCCACCATCCTTTCTCACCAAACTGAAGATCTTCAATGTTCCATTCCTCACTTCAGTCCTGTCTACTGGCAAACTCCCGACTGACTTAGACCACGTGATTCTTGGCCCCGGCTGACCAACAGCATTGCAGGAAATAGTGACGTTTTGTTTCTCTTCGGCCATTAATCGACTGGATGATAGCAAAAGTTTAGGGAAGACTGTGGAAAAATGGCAAAATCCATTTATCTCTTAAGAAGTATAAACACTGGAATCTACGCTACTATAACAAGTATCATAACACCCAATATCAAGCCTAAATTAATGGATCAAATAAGAAAAAAGGAATTTCATCTTTTATGGATCGTGGTTCAGCTTTGGAAGTTATAATTGGCTTCTGGCAAGCAATGTATGACAGTGTCTCAGAAAAACTGTTTTAATTGACGTTTTTCAAACACGCATTCTATTACTTACACTGAACAGTTAATTTTGCTGAGGCGTTTACTTGTCCCATCAAATTTTCTGCCTTACAGCTGTACAATCCGTCATCCCCCGGTCTAACATCCTTTAAAATCAGTGCACCATTAGACTCTACCACGTGACGTCCAACAGGAAGCACTGAGTTCACCTTTCCCCACAAGACTTTTGGGCTTGGACTACCAACCGCTGTACATTTTAACATG